CTTTCGATCGGTGTAGAATTCTAAGAGTTTCAAATTTTTTCTACATTTTCTTTTAGATAAACACCATACAAAGTCTGCTCTCACCTCAAGGTATTATGAAAAATGTCGTTAATATTTTGTCCGATAATATAATTATGGAATCGAATATGGATGGTCATCATAATAAAACAAGATTATTAAATTTTCCCAAAACTATGGATGTTTTATTTTGTAAGTATTCAGTATAGATTTTGAAGAATAGCAACTTATGTTCCTAACAATTTAAGTTTTTTGTTAAAGCTAATTATTTTGCATTTTACAGTGGCCAGTCGTAAAGATGACAATTACAGCTCCAAAATGTTTCTAGACGATTTAAGACGTTCCCTGAGAGTAGTTAAGAATCGTTACCATAAAAACAATTGTCGCGCTAGACAGAAACAATTATTACGCGAGGAACAGGCAAGGGATGAGCAACAGGATAGTACTGAAGAAAGTTTTATGGAGAGAACTGAAGAAATCTATTTTGATTAGTTATAGAAAACAAAAACTATTTAAGAATGTAACTTAATTTGTTGTTAGAAAGCAAGTTAAAGATATATTTGTGTAAATATTGTGTAAAAATCATATAGTTTATAAGTAATAATAAGTTGTTTGTTATTAAATAAAGAAATCATTTTAATTTCAATAATTTAAGAGTAAAGTTGGTCTTTTAAATGGATAAGAAAGGAACATTTTGAATAAAAAAGCCAGTTGAGATACTGATAACGTCTGATACGTCATCCTTTACTATCTTTTTTGCTAAAAAAAAGCGACATTTTAGTTAAAAATGTAAATAATTTATTTAATAAACTTAACTTTAAATGAATAAAATGTGAGGAAATTTTATAGATAGAATAAAAACTGTGGAATTGAAACTATTTCCAACAGAATGTGTGAGACATACCTATATACCTATTTCTCCAGCAATTGCAATATTATCAAATTATTAATCACACAAAATTTCCTCTTTTATAAATTCTTCGATTAAAGGATAACTCGGCTCTACTTCTATTAGTTCAGCTTCCTCAACTTCATCACATTTCTCTTGTTCTTCTTGCTCCTGGCGTTGCAATTGACGATTGCGGAATACATTTTTGTTATGGCGATTTTTTACCATTTTCAAACCACGACGTACATCATCCAAAAAGACTTTTTGACTATAGCCATCATAATAAGCAGCTTCTGAGGAAGAAAATTGCAAAAAAATCTACAGTAAGTTGAAAAATATTAAATTATTCCAAAACCCACGAAAAAGTAAATCCATAAATTTGGTATAATTTAACAAACGTCTCTTGTAATGATGACCATCAACATTACAGCTTACTATACACTCGGTGGACAAGACGGCATCAATATTTTTAACAATACCCTGAGGTGTTAGCAACTGCTGGACAACAGCCACCTAAAGCAAAAAAGAAATCTTTAAAAATTTGTAAAACTTCTCGTATTCTTTTCCAAAAACTACCAGTTCATTGAGATTTTTATTATTTATCAGTTTTTCCAAGGCATCTAGTTCCTTAATCGATTTAATGGGAAATCTTTTAACCTGTTCCGAAATTTTCCTAGTGAACGTTATGTGCGGTGCTAGTTTATCCGTTTCTATGCTCTCCATCAATTTGCCATTTTGTGCCCTTATCAATGACAGGATTTTTTCATTCTGCTGCATTAGGGAATCTTTAGTAAAAGGTAAATAATTTGTATGTTTTAAATAGTTTTAAAACAGTTTATCTATTTCTTACGCCTTAAATCATTAATATCATCTTTTAAAGCTTCTTTTTCCCATTCCAACTCATCTAGACGACTGTTTACATCGTTGCCTTTTAGCTCATTGACTTCATTCTTTAAAGCTGCTGTTATTTTTGCCAATTGTTCAACTTTTTCATTAATATTCATTATAATTTTTATAGGATTTTAAATATTTGTTTATAATTTTTCTTACAACAACAATTTAATGGCTTTCTGCACTGTTTTTTGTTGTTATTTTGTGTTTTTGTTTTGATTTGTTTACGTTTTTTTTCTATTTTGCAGTACCATCTCTAATGTTATTGTTTTCATTTCCCTGCTCTATATTAGAAAATACACTGGGAGAAATCTTAAACAAAATTCCCATTATTATACGTTTTATCGAAAATCCCTCTGTTCGTCTAACAAAAAATCATACATTTTATCGAAAATATATCATTCTACTCAAAATCACCATTTTTATCGAAAATCCCAAATTTTCTAAATCCCTGCTACTTTTTACCCAAAATCCTACTTTTTGTCAAAAATCCCACATTTTTTCTAAAAACCTAGTATGTTTTATCGAAAATCCTTCTTTTTATTGAAAATCTCACTTATTTTCCAAAATCCCAATTTTTTTTATCAAAATTTTTATCCGAAATCCCACTTTTTTCTAAAACCCTACTACGTTTTATCCAAAATCCTACTTTAACCCACTTTTTATCCAAAAATCCCATTTTTTATTCAAAACAAAACTTTTTGTCCATAATACCAACACGTTTTATACAAAATTTCTCCTTTAATCCAAAATCCTAATGTTTACCAAAAATACAACTACGTTTTATTAAAGATCCAAATTTATTAAAAACTCCACCTTTTATTCAAAATCCCTTTTACCCCACAAAAATGACTACTACTTCTTATTCCAAATCTGCTTTTCTAATCAGAATCCCAAAATCCGACTTTTAATTCAAAATTCCATTCTACTCAAAATTACACTTTTTATTCAAAATCACATTTTTTTATTAAAAATCCCTTTTTTTAAAAAAAAAACTACTACGTTTAATACAAAATTAAACTTTTGGTTTAAAATCCCACGTTTTTTATAAAACTCTACTACGTTTTATTTAAAATACCACTTATTATCCAAAATCCCACTATTTATTCAAAATCCCACTTTTTGACCAAAATCACAATTTTTATCCAAAATTCCACTTTTTCCAAAACCAAAATCCTACTCACAATCCCACCTCTGTATAAAATCCCACTTTTTCTAAATATAAAATGCCTCTTTTTTCCTAAATCCTAAAATTTTTTGAAAATCCTACTTTTTACCCAAAATCCCACTTTTTAACCAAAATCCCACTTCTTTTCCAAAAATCCAACTTTTTATTCAAAATAAAACTTTTTGTCTTTAATCCTATTACATTTTAAACAAAATTTCACCTTTTATCCAAAATCCCACATTTGATTAAAAATCCCAATTTTTATCTATAATACAATCAATCCCACTTTTTATACAATATTTAATTTTGTACTCACTTTTCTATTCTACTTTTAGTGCAAATTCGTATATTTTATAAAAATCCACATTTTATTTAAAATCCCTTTTCCCCACATAATCCCACTTTTTATTAAAAATCTCAGTTTTTGCCTAAAATAACTACCAATTTTTATTCCAAATCCCCTTTTCTAATCAGAATCCCACATTTTATCCCAAATCCCCCTTTTTATTCAAAACTAGCTATACCCAGTGTGCTTCGCTACCCTCATCGTAATGGAATAAAATAAATATCATTATTGTAAATGTATATATATATCTGCAATATCAAAAATTCCCCTTTTAGAGAACTCTTTAAGTTTGATTTTATGATTCTAGTCTCAATATTACAGAAAATTAAAAAAAAAAAACAGTTGAAGAACGAAAAAGTACCAGTCAGTGCCTTTTTATATATTTTCATTAAATCAGGATGATGCATGTTTAATTTTCAACCAGAAACTGAATAAATCGCATACAGATTTTTATATAATCAGGAAGCTGCATGTCCAACTTTATGTTTTTAGGTTCAATATTATAGAAAAGTATCAATTTTCGTTCAATTAGGATACTGCGTGTTTAATTTTATGTTTATTGAATATTTTAGAAAGCTCTAAAAGTACCAGTACCAGTGAAGTACGAAAAAGTACCAAAAGACCTATTTTATTTAATTTCATGTTCCTAAGTTCAATATTATAGAAAATTCAAAAAGTACCAATAAAAGAACGAATAGTACCAGAAAATATTCCAGTTTAAATTTTCATGCACTCAAGTCCCTCATTGCTTAGTTTTATGTCTACCAAAGGGCCCACTTTTATAGATTATAATTAACTCCACATGCTTAATTTCATGTTTCTAGGATCAATATTATAAAAAACACAAAAAGCACCTTTTGAAGAACGAAAAAGTACCAAAAAGTGCCCTTTTATAGGTCCTCACTTAATCCGGGCTCAATTTCAAGTTTCTAGGTTCAATATTATACAAAAATCCAAAAAGTATCTTTTGAAGAACGAAAAAGTACCAAAAAGTCCCTTTTTATATGTTCTCACTTAATCCAGGCTCTACATACTTAATTTCATGTTTCTAGGTTCAATATAATAGAAAATTCCTTTTGATGAACGAAAAAGTACCAAAAAGTCCACTTTTATAGATTCTCATTTACTCCGGGCTCTACATGCTTAATTTCATGTTTCTAGGTTAAATTTAATAGAAAACTCAAAAAGTACCGGTCGAAGTACGAAAAAGTACCAAAAAGTCCCCTTTTATAGATTCTCATTTACTCCGGGCTCTACATGCTTAATTTCATGCTTCTAGGTTTAATTTTAAAGAAAACTCAAAAAAATAGTAGAACGAAAAAGTACCGAAAAGTCCCTTTATTATTAATTTCATGTTTCGATTTCAATATCAAAGAAAACTCAAAAAGTACCAGATGAAGAACGAAAAAGTACCAAAAAATATCACTTGGTACCGGGGTTCCAAATAACACCTCATTAGCATATTTAGTGTTTCTAAATCTAAAAATTTTATCTAAATTGGATCATTGTGTTTGAATAAAATCAAATTTCCCGTTTTTACCCCTTTTGGTACTTTTTTTCTACCCATTAACGAAATAAAAATTCTATTCCAAAATGTTGCAACATCGTAGTGGGAGCCCGTTATTATGTATTTATATGTATAAGTTAATAAACCAAAATCAATATTTTATGAAAAAAGTACCAAAAATGGGTACAATTTTCACCCCTTAAACATCCGAATAACCAAAAAGTACTAAATTTATATTTTTATTTTTTCGTCAAGTTATGAAGGAGTCAAAAATATTGTTTGAATGTTCACTGGTTTAAAAGATACATGGGGTGCAAAAAAAGTACCAAAATACAGTTTTTACCCGTTTATTCCCTAAAGGGGCCGAAATTGAAAAAAGTACCAGACACCTGTCCGCTTATTTTTTAAATGAACGACGATAAGCTTTAAACTATTTTTGTATCTTTTCTAGTTTAGGAGATATGAGGTTACCGAATTTACCCGTTTTTACCCTTTTTTACCCCCTAAACATTCGAATTTCCAAAAATCCCGTCTTAGTGGATCTATTTGGTGGGAGACCAACCTCCTGTCCAAATTTCAGCTCTTTAGCTTCAACCGTTTAGGCTGTGGGATGATGAATCAGTCAGTCAGTCAGTCAGTCAGTCAGTCAGTAACGTTAGAATTTTATATATATAGATGCCACTTTTTATTCAATATCCCACTTTTTATACAAAATCCGAGTTTCTACTCAGAATACCAGTATTTGTCTAAATATTCACATCTTTTATCAAAAACTCCACTTTTTATTCAAAATCCCACTTTTTAATCAAAATCCCACATTTTAATCAAAATCCCACTTTTTAATCAAAATCCCACTTTTTATTAAAAATCCCAATTTTTATCCAATAGCCCACATTTTATACAAATGTGGGCCACTTTTTGTCCAAATAATCCCACCTTTTATCAAAAACTCCACTTTTTATTCAAAATCCCATTTTTTATTCAAACCCCACTTTTTATCCAAAATCCCATACTTAATACAAAATCCGTTTTTCTATTCAGAATACCAGTTTATCTAAATTTCCACCTTTTATCAAAAATTCCACATTTTATTCAAAATCTCATTTTCACATTACCACTACTTATTAAAAATCTCAATTTTTGCCCAAAATCCCTATCACTTGAAAATCCCTTTTCTAATCAGAATCCCACTTTTTATCCATAATTCCACTATTTACTAAAAATTCAATACAAAACACCATTCTTTATCCTATATCCTTCTTCCTTCCTTATATAAAACTCCTTCTGCTTATAATAAAAATAACATACTGGCAACCTTATGTAAATTTCTCTTATTAACTTTATTAACTAACAAAGAGAAACGAATTACACTCTTACCAACAACAAAAACACTCATAATTCCAGTATCCACACAAATGGAGTGAAATTTACTGGAGAAATAGACAAATATGACGATGAAACAAGTAAACAAAGCAGACACTAAAAAGCCATTACAAACAACAACAACATAGAACCCCCAAATAGAATACAAAACAGAATTTACGGCAAATTAAGATGAGTGCTTGCGAACAAGTTGAGTCGTACGGTTTGTTAGTTAACGTTTAACGGAAAAACGTCGAATGTTGTCGGTATGAAATAAGAAAAAAATAAAAAAAAATTATACACAAAAAGGAAATAATAATAATAAAAAAAAAGAAACAACAACAGTGTAATACATACACGGCGGAATACCCACACAAAATATACAACTTTACAAACGGGTCGAGTGACGGCTTACAAAATAAAAAGTAGTGTGTGTCTGTGTTTTTTTATTATTATTAATAAATAAATTTATTTATTTGCTTGATTGTCAATTCAATTTATTATAAAAATTACAATATTTTCTTAAAGTGTATACCAAAAAAAAAATATTGAAAAAAGAAGTTGGAAAATTTATTAAAAAAAAGTTTCTTTCAAAATACAAAGTGCGTAACATAGCGAAAGAAGAAGAAGAAGAAGCAGAAAAAAAGTATGTGTATTTTTTTCTTATGTATAGAAAAATAAAAGAAGAGCAAAATTGAAAACAACAAAAAATACTCACACGCATTAATTTTTTTCATTCCTACATGAAAGTGTTTGTTTGTGTGTGTATGTTTTAATCGGCTGTACCCTTTTCTCAAAATCGATGTAAACACGAGACAAAAGTAAATTACAGAAAAAAAATTACAGTGTTTTTCTTTTTCAAATAATAAATAAATAAAAAGTATTTGTAGGAAAAAAAATACCGGTCGTGTTTTACTAAAAAAAAGAAAATAATACATTAAACAGACAAGTCTAGCTTTTGCTTCCATTTTTTTCTACGTTTTAAACAAAAAATAAATATTTCTTGACGCGTTGTGTGCCGACAAATTTAATTATTTTATATTATTTATATGCCGCAACTAGTATAATAACCAACAATAAAGTGCAAACAAGAAAAAATTCCTAAAGAAAATTAAAAATCTAAATATTGAAAAAAAAATAATTAAACAAATAAATTGTGTATAACTAAAAAAAAGGCAACAAAAATAAACCACAACAACTACAACTCAAATTTTTTTTGAAAAAAGGTATGCAAAGCGGAATAAATTTTGTTTTATATTAATTGTTTAAACATTTTCTTGATTATTAATGAAGTTATAAGACGTTGTTTTAATTTTATCCAGTTGTACTCCAACTTCCATTTTTTAACCCAAATCTTAGTTTTTTTCCCTCCAATATCTCCAATTACGCTTTTGGATCAAATTTTTAAGTTTTTTCTTAAAATATTTAACATTTTAAACAAAATCCTACATTTTACTTAAAAACAAACCTTTTTTCTTAATTTTTACTTAAAATCCCCTTTTAAATTCTTTATTCCAGTTTTTTCGAAAATCCCTCTGTTCTCAAAATCCCAAATTTTGTTCGAAATTCTAATTTATACCCAAAGTTTTACTCAAAACCCTTATATTTATTAAAAATTTTAACTTTGTTATCCCAAATCCTATTTTCTACTTAAAATTACACATTTTATTCAAAATCCCACTTTTTACGTAAAAAGTGGGATCTCATTTGCAACACAAAAGCTATTTACCTCGTTAAGATCCCACTGTTTTGTTTCGAAAATCCCTCTATGCTCAAAGTCCCACATTTTGTTCGAAATTCTAATTTATACCCAAAGTTTTACTCAAAACCCTTATATTCATTAAAAATTTCAACTTTGTTATCCAAAATCCTATTTTGTACTTAAAATTACACTTTTTATTCAAAATCCCACTTTTTACGTAAAAAGTGCAACTCAAGAGCTATTTACCTCGTTAAGATCCCACTGTTTTGTATCAAAAATAAAGATTTCATAAAAAATCGTACTTTATACTAAAATCACACGTTCAAAATCCAGCTTTTTGTCCAAAATCCTGCATTTTATTTAAAATCACACTTTTTGTTCAAAAACTTATTGTTCAAAATCCCACTTTTTATCCAAAATCACACTTTTTATTGAAATTTCCCTATTTAACCGAAATCTCACTTTTTATTGAAATTTCCTGTTTTAACCTAAATCTCATTTTTTGTCCAAAATCCCGATATTTATCCAAATTACTACATTTTATGCAAAATCTCACTTTTTATTCAAAATACCACTTTTTATTCAAAATCCCACTTTTTATCCATATTCCAAAATCGATTTTTTATCCAAATTCCCAAAATTTATTCAAAATCCCACTTTTTATGCAAAATCCCACTTTTTATCCATAATTCCACTATATTTTGTCCAAAATGCCAGATTTTATTCGCACTATTTATCCCAAATTTCACTGTTAATCAAAATCTCATTTATTGTTTTAAAATCCCACATTTTGTCTAAAATATCACTTTTTAACATTCCTCTGTTTCTTCAAAATCCCCATCCCATCCCAAAATCCCATTTTTTACCCAGGTTTTATACAAAATACTACTTTATTCTACTCAAAATCCCAAATTTTTCCAAAATCCTTATTCTTATTCTTTTTATCTTAAATCCCACTTTTAATACAAAAACCCATTTTCTACTCAGAATCTCACTTTTTGTCAAAACTCCCAACTTTAATCAAAATCCCATTTTCCGCACATAATCCCACATTTTTTTCCAAATCTCAGTTTTTGTCCAAAATCTAATCAAATTTTCAAAATCTTATTTAAAATTACACATTTTATTCAAAATTCCAATTCTTATTCAAAATCCAATTTTTCTCACATAATGCCGCTTTTTAATCAAAATCTCAGTTTTTGCACAAAATCTAATCAAATCTACAAAACCTAATTCAAAATAACACATTTTATTCAAAAGCCCACTTTTTTTTCCAAAATTCCACTTTTTATACAAAACCCCCTATTTTACGCAAAATCTCATTTTTGGTTAAAATTTCCAACTTTTAACAAAAATTCCACTTTTTATTCAAAATCCCATTTACCACTCATAATCCCACCTTTTATTCAAAATCTCAGTTTTTGTCGAAAATCTTATCAAATCTTCAAAATCTAAATCAAAATTACACATTTGATTCAAAATTCCACTTTTTTTTTTCCAAAATTTCACTTTTTATACAAAATCCCCCTCTCAAAATCTAAATTTTTGTCAAAATTCCCAATTTTTAAGAAAAATTCCACTTTTTACTCCAAATTCCACACATAATCACACTTTTTATTCAAAATCTCAATTTCTGTCCAAAATCTTGAAATCTTCTAATCAGAATTCCACTTTTTAACCAAAATCCCACAGTTTAACCACTTTGTTCAAAATCCCACTAGCAACCTATTTAACCAAAATTTTACTATGTATTACCTATCCGTTTAACTATTTTCTTATTTTCTTAACTATTAATTAAACTTAAACTTAATTTAGTTTTAATTATAAAATTACTGTCTTCGACATTGATTTGTTTTTGTTATATTTTGCTTATTTAATAATTTTGTATTGCTTTTATTATTATTATTAGTTTTTTTTTCTTGTCCTATGCTATTTCTTGTTTTCGTTTTCTTTTCATACTTTTCTAACTCGTTTTGTACACCCCTACATACAAAAATAACATTATTATCATTATAAACAGTTTTTGCTGTTGTTGTCTACTACTCATCTTCTTATTTGTTGTATTAAATTGTTGTTCTCTTTATATTTTAGTGTCTAGTTTAATGAGTACTAAGTTTGTGTATTTGTTTTTGTTTTATTCTTTTGTCATTATAATAATAAAAACTACAACAACAACAACGACGAAAAAACATTCAATTATAATTTGTAAATGCAAAGTTCCTTTAGTATGTGATGGCTGTTGTTAAACTCATTGTTTTTGTGTCTTTTTGTTGCTGTTGTTTTTCTTTTCGTTTAATATTGAGTTAAATTAAAGAGAGTTTTTGTGGAGTGTGTGTTTGTGTGTAGTTAAGAGTTGCCAGAGGTTGTTTAATGTTTAAACATTAACAAGTAAAGAAATTTAGGGAAAAAAGCATTTCGTATAGAAAATATGTATACAAAATTAAGGATAATATTAAAAATTATTTAGAAATAATAAAAAGTTATTTGTAAAAATAGTAACTTATAATTCAAAAGGCTCTATTTGTCCAAAATTTCCCACCTGTTATCCAAATCCTACTTTCTAATCAAAATTGAATTTTTTATCCAAAATCATACTTTCTATCCAAAGGATCAATCCCTATTTCCACACAAAATTATATCCAAAATATTTTATCCAAAATTCCCTCTTTGTCTCCTTTTTACTATTATAGTCTAGTCTATAGTCTAGTCTATAGTCTAGTCTATAGTAGTCTATAGTCTATAGTCTAGTCTATAGTCTAGTCTAGTAGTCTATAGTCTAGTCTATAGTCTAGTCTATAGTCTAGTCTATAGTCTAGTCTATAGTCTAGTCTATAGTCTAGTCTATAGTCTAGTCTATAGTCTAGTCTATAGTCTAGTCTATAGTCTAGTCTATAGTCTAGTCTATAGTCTAGTCTATAGTCTAGTCTATAGTCTAGTCTATAGTCTAGTCTATAGTCTAGTCTATAGTCTAGTCTATAGTCTAGTCTATAGTCTAGTCTATAGTCTAGTCTATAGTCTAGTCTATAGTCTAGTCTATAGTCTAGTCTATAGTCTAGTAGTCTAGTCTATAGTCTAGTCTATAGTCTAGTCTATAGTCTAGTCTATAGTCTAGTCTATAGTCTAGTCTATAGTCCTAGTCTATAGTCTAGTCTATAGTCTAGTCTATAGTCTAGTCTATAGTCTAGTCTATAGTCTAGTCTATAGTCTAGTCTATGTCTAGTCTATAGTCTAGTCTATAGTCTAGTCTATAGTCTAGTCTATAGTCTAGTCTATAGTCTAGTCTATAGTCTAGTCTATAGTCTAGTCTATAGTCTAGTCTATAGTCTAGTCTATAGTCTAGTCTATAGTCTAGTCTATAGTCTAGTCTATAGTCTAGTCTATAGTCTAGTCTATATTAAGGATAATATTAAAAATTATTTAGAAATAATAAAAAGTTATTTGTAAAAATAGTAACTTATAATTCAAAAGGCTCTATTGTCCAAAATTTCCCACCTGTTATCCAAAATCCTACTTTCTAATCAAAATTGAATTTTTTATCCAAAATCATACTTTCTATCCAAAGGATCAATCCCTATTTCCACACAAAATTATATCCAAAATATTTTATCCAAAATTCCCTCTTTGTCTCCTTTTTACTATTATAGTCTAGTCTATAGTCTAGTCTATAGTCTAGTCTATAGTCTAGTCTATAGTCTAGCCTATAGTCTAGTCTATAGTCTAGTCTATAGTCTAGTCTATAGTCTAGTCTATAGTCTAGTCTATAGTCTAGTCTATAGTCTAGTCTATAGTCTAGTCTATAGTCTAGTCTATAGTCTAGTCTATAGTCTAGTCTATAGTCTAGTCTATAGTCTAGTCTATAGTCTAGTCTATAGTCTAGTCTATAGTCTAGTCTATAGTCTAGTCTATAGTCTAGTCTATAGTCTAGTCTATAGTCTAGTCTATAGTCTAGTCTATAGTCTAGTCTATAGTCTAGTCTATAGTCTAGTCTATAGTCTAGTCTATAGTCTAGTCTCTCGTCTAGTCTATAGTCTAGTCTATAGTCTAGTCTATAGTCTAGTCTTATAGTCTAGTCTATAGTCTAGTCTATAGTCTAGTCTATAGTCTAGTCTATAGTCTAGTATAGTCTGTCTATCGTCTAGTCTATAGTCTAGTCTAAGTCTAGTCTATAGTCTATCTCTTATAGTCTAGTCTATAGTTCTAGTCTATAGGTCTATAGTCTAGTCTATAGTCTAGTTTCTATAGTATAGTCTTAGTCTAGTTCTATAGTCTAGTCTATAGTTCAGTCTATAGTCTAGTCTAGTCTAGTCTATAGTCTAAGTCTAGTCTATCGTCTAGTCTATAGTCTAGTCTATAGTCTAGTCTCTAGTCTAGTCTTATAGTCTAGTCTATAGTCTAGTCATAGTCTATCTAGGTCTAGTAGTCTAGTCTATAGTTCTCTATAGTCTAGTCTATAGTCTTAGTCTATAGTCTAGTTATTGCTCTATAGTCTAGTCTCATAGTCTAGTCTTATAGTCTAGTTATAGTCTAGTCTATAGTCTAGTCTATAGTCTAGTCTATAGTCTAGTCTATAGTCTTAGTCTATAGTCTAGTCTATAGTCTAGTCTATGTCTAGTCTATAGTCTAGTCTATAGTCTAGTCTATAGTCAGTCTATAGGTCTATAGTTCTAGTCTATAGTCTAGTCTATAGTTAGTCTATAGTCTAGTCTATAGTCTAGTCTATAGTCTAGTCTATAGTCTAGTCTATAGTCTAGTCTATAGTCTAGTCTATAGTCTAGTCTATAGTCTAGTCTATAGTCTAGTCTATAGGTCTGTCTATAGTCTAGTCTATAGTCTAGTCTATAGTCTAGTCTATAGTCTAGTCTATAGTCTAGTCTATAGTCTAGTCTAGTCTATAGTCTAGTCTATAGTCTAGTCTATAGTCTAGTCTATAGTCTAGTCTATAGTCTAGTACTATAGTCTAGTTAGTCTATAGTCTAGTCTATAGTCTAGTCTATAGTCTAGTCTATAGTCTAGTCTATAGTCTAGTCTATAGTCTAGTCTATAGTCTAGTCTATAGTCTAGTCTATAGTCTAGTCTATAGTCTAGTCTATAGTCTAGTCTATAGTCTAGTCTATAGTCTAGGTCTATAGTCTAGTCTATAGTCTAGTCTATAGTCTAGTCTATAGTCTAGTCTATAGTCTAGTCTATAGTCTAGTCTATAGTCTAGTCTATAGTCTAGTCTATAGTCTAGTCTATAGTCTAGTCTATAGTCTAGTCTATAGTCTAGTCTATAGTCTAGTCTATAGTCTAGTCTATAGTCTAGTCTATAGTCTAGTCTATAGTCTAGTCTATAGTCTAGTCTATAGTCTAGTCTATAGTCTAGTCTATAGTCTAGTCTATAGTCTAGTCTATAGTCTAGTCTAGTCTATAGTCTAGTCTATAGTCTAGTCTATAGTCTAGTCTAGTCTATAGTCTAGTCTATAGTCTAGTCTATAGTCTAGTCTATAGTCTAGTCTATAGTCTAGTCTAGTCTATAGTCTAGTCTTAGTCTAGTCTATAGTCTAGTCTATAGTCTAGTCTATATTAAGGATAATATTAAAAATTATTTAGAAATAATAAAAAGTTATTTGTAAAAATAGTAACTTATAATTCAAAAGGCTCTATTTGTCCAAAATTTCCCACCTGTTATCCAAAATCCTACTTTCTAATCAAAATTGAATTTTTTATCCAAAATCATACTTTCTATCCAAAGGATCAATCCCTATTTCCACACAAAATTATATCCAAAATATTTTATCCAAAATTCCCTCTTTGTCTCCTTTTTACTATTATAGTCTAGTCTATAGTCTAGTCTATAGTCTAGTCTATAGTCTAGTCTATAGTCTAGCCTATAGTCTAGTCTATAGTCTAGTCTATAGTCTAGTCTATAGTCTAGTCTATAGTCTAGTCTATAGTCTAGTCTATAGTCTAGTCTATAGTCTAGTCTATAGTCTAGTCTATAGTCTAGTCTATAGTCTAGTCTATAGTCTAGTCTATAGTCTAGTCTATAGAAATTTTAAAGTCTATAGTCTAGTCTATAGTCTAGTCTATAGTCTAGTCTATAGTCTAGTCTATAGTCTAGTCTATAGTCTAGTCTATAGTCTAGTCTATAGTCCAGTCTATAGTCTAGACTATAGTCTATAGTCTAGTCTATAGTCTAGTAATGGTCTGGTGTAGAGTCTTGTAATTCCACTTGCTACCTAAAATCCCACTTTTAATCCCAAATTCCATTCTTTTAAATCAGGAAAATTGAAATTTTAAACTAAAATTTATTTTGTAGCACAGTGTAACTAACTACCTCATCTTCAAATATAATTTTAAAAATTAACAAAAAATATTAAACAAATTTTATTTAAAAAGTTAATAATGTCTTCAACAATTAAAATTCTAAACATGAACTTAAAAAAATACCATAAATAAATATTTTGTTAAAAAAAATTTATCATAAATAATCAATTAATAGAAATCTTTTTAAACTTTTTCTCTAATTTCAGCTTAAAATTACGTGGCATTGTTTTTCCCACTGAAGAAAAATCGAAATAAAGTGTGAAAAATTCAATCGAATAGAAAAATTTTGATGATAATAAATAAAATCCTTTAAACACAATTTAACTAAAATTATTTTGCAACTAAAACGTAAGACGTGTCTATTAACAACATTGGCAATTTATTTCCAACACATTGTGGTCTATGAAAGCAAAAATTATATAGTAAATAATATATAAATATTATATATTGTCTATATAATCCATATTAAATACATAAGAAAAATTACTATTATTATCATCATCACACAACAAACAACTAAGAAATAAACAACATGTTGTCAACCACAACTGCTGCTACTATATCATCCAAGAAAACAACCAGAACAACAACTAAAATGATGATGATGACCAAATGTCATCGTCCACAACGTTGTCAAATACAATACCATAACGGTAGATCATCGTTGCCATCATCATTGTTATTATCATTAAAATCATCATCATTATCGTCATTAACATCATCACCATCATCCTTTTATGGCCTTAACAAATGGCTTTGGACTGCTGTACTATTTGGATTATTAATAGTAACTGCTAGTGCTATAGATGAGGTAAGTTTTTTAGTTTTTTCTTGTTTCTATTTTCCTTTTAATACTCAATCAAAGAAAAAATTACTCAATTATCATTTGACATATTCTCTCAAAAATATTTGTGGATAAATTGAGAAGTTCAAAAAAATCTAAAGTTTTGGAATCATATGATAAGAGTGCCACTATAAGCAGAAATCTTCCCATCCGGTTGTTCCCCAATTTTGTTTACCATTTCCCGTCAAATAATGTTACAAAAACCGTTAGACTAGACTATAGACTAGACTATAGACTAGACTATAGACTAGACTATAGATTAGACTATAGACTAGACTTTAGACTAGACTATAGACTAGACTATAGACTAGACTATAGACTAGACTATAGACTAGACTATAGACTAGACTATAGACTAGACTATAGACTAGACTATAGACTAGACTATAGACTAGACTATAGACTAGACTATAGACTAGACTATAGACTAGACTATAAACTAGACTATAGACTAGACTATAGACTAGACTATAGACTAGACTATAGACTAGACTATAGACTAGACTATAGACTAGACTATAGACTAGACTATAGACTAGACTATAGACTAGACTATAGACTAGACTATAGACTAGACTATAGACTAGACTATAGACTAGACTATAGACTAGACTATAGACTAGACTATAGACTAGACTATAGACTAGATTATAGACTAGACTATAGACTAGACTATAGACTAGACTATAGACTAGACTATAGACTAGACTATAGACTAGACTATAGACTAGACTATAGACTAGACTATAGACTAGACTATAGACTAGACTATAGACTAGACTATAGACTAGACTATAGACTAGACTATAGACTAGACTATAGACTAGACTATAGACTAGACTATAGACTAGACTATAGACTAGACTATAGACTAGACTATAGACTAGACTATAGACTAGACTATAGACTAGACTATAGACTAGACTATAGACTAGACTATAGACTAGACTAGACTATAGACTAGACTATAGACTAGACTATAGACTAGACTATAGACTAGACTATAGACTAGACTATAGACTAGACTATAGACTAGACTATAGACTAGACTATAGACTAGACTATAGACTAGACTATAGACTAGACTATAGACTAGACTATAGACTAGACTATAGACTAGACTATAGACTAGACTATAGACTAGACTATAGACTAGACTATAGACTAGACTATAGACTAGACTATAGACTAGACTATAGACTAGACTATAGACTAGACTATAGACTAGACTATAGACTAGACTATAGACTAGACTATAGACTAGACTATAGACTAGACTATAGACTAGACTATAGACTAGACTATAGACTAGACTATAGACTAGACTATAGACTAGACTATAGATTAGACTATAGACTAGACTATAGACTAGACTATAGACTAGACTATAGACTAGACTATAGACTAGACTATAGACTAGACTAGACTATAGACTAGACTATGGACTAGACTATAGACTAGACTATAGACTGGACTATAGACTAGACTATAGACTAGACTATAGACTAGACTATAGACTAGACTATAGACTAGACTATAGACTAGACTATAGACTAGACTATAGACTAGACTATAGACTAGACTATAGACAATAGACTAGACAATAGACTAGACTATAGACTAGACTATAGACTAGACTATAGACTAGACTATAGAATAGACTATAGACTAGACTATAGACTAGACTATAGACTAGACTATAGACTAGACTATAGACTAGACTATAGACTAGGACTATAGACTAGACTATAGACTAGACTATAGACTAGACTAGACTAGACTATAGACTAGACTATAGACTAGACTATAGACTAGACTATAGACTAGATTATAGACTAGATTATAGACTAGACTATAGACTAGACTATAAACTAGACTATAGACTAGACTATAGATTAGACTAAAGATATTTAAGAATATTTCAAGAAGCGAAGGTACTATAGTATGAATCTAAAAGTTCCCAGCTTAAGAATGTTCCCAAAGCTGTCCCTTCAAATTTTGACTATACTCTTCAAACTCTTTATAATACACAAAATCGATCCATTAGTATATCCACAATATACAACAATTATAGTTTAATTAAATTTTAATTATACTTTATAAAAATGATAAAAGAAATGTAAAACTGTTAATAAAAACCATCATTTGCAACATTGACAGCAACAAACGCAATAAAAAGAAATCTACGCCAACAGTAAAACTTTATTATACACTAACACCCGGACAACTTGGAAAACAAAAAAATTAAAAGAAAAAACTTTAAATACAATTCAATAATGTTATCAGTTCAATACAGAGGAGTAAAGCAAGTTCTTTATAGGCTAGAGCAGTACATTCTCTCGTTATACGAGGATGGTATGAGAAGAGAATAAATGAGCAGATACGAGACCAATCGATTCAAGAGTATTCCAAGAAGCTAAGGATACTTTGGTAGACGTCGTATCCCATTCAACCTTACACAAGTATTCTTTATGTTTAGATGTGGAGTTCGAAATTTCAAAGATAGAAGTTCTTCTGCTTAAGAGAGCACAAAGTTGAGCCCTGTCTGAAACTACAACAAAATAACTTTTCAGATTGACTTTATACTTTGGTGCGTGCGAATATTTACGGCCTTTTGTTTATAACACTAGAGAAAAACAACAAAGAATAAAAACAAAAATCAAAATACATTAAATGTAATGACCATCGGAAGAGATGCAGTCGAAGAAGGAAACAATTGACAATGACAAAACCAAAATGTTGATGATACTATTGTAACTGCAACGACCGAAGCACACACACACACACACACACAGAATAAACGTGTAACACTTTCACACAAACACCTACTGGGGAAAAGGTGATAGTAAAAGAGTGAGAAAGACAGACAAATAATGCCAGCACAATAACAACAAAATTGATAACATCTTGACACGAACACAAAAGAATAAACAAAAACGAAACGTAGTAAACGCGGTTAGATGGATAATATAAAAGAGATTGTCAGACGGACGTAGAAACAGACCGACATTTAAGAATTGGTTGCAGAGCTACAAGCCGAGACGGCTCAAATCGGCGGCGGCTGGCCGCCGGTAATATTTTGCAAGCCGCGCCGCCGCCGACTTCTTTCGTCTCAAAAGCTAAGCCGGCTTAAACGTAGCCGCTGATAAAGATTGGAATCGCACATGTCTTTTAGAAAATAATTTCACCAATTTGAACAGAGTTGCCACTATTTTAAATTCTTATGGCAAATTCAAAAGAGTTGCCACACAATATTGTGCTAATATTAAAATAGTGATAACTACTATAATAATGTCCATTTTCTGCAGAAAAAACTTATATAGAGTTAGGTTTCTATATAACAGACTATTATACAGAGATTTTTCAATATAATAAACGCTTATAAGGTCAATTTCTGAAGAAGAAGTTAAATTGAGTCGACAATTTAGCCGCCGCCGATATTTTCTATAATAAGCCGCCGCCGCCGATCATTTTGCATCGGCTTGTATCTCTGCTGTGCGGACACGGCAGACTCAAACAACAAATGCATGCAAAACCACAACAACCATAAGACAACTCTACAGCAGACATTGAGTGGTGCAGCAATAGCAACAAAAATTCTTTTAATATTCTTTCACTTCTTTCATTTACTCTCTAGTTAGAAGAGTGTGAGACAGAGAGAGACAAAATACATTAATGGAATTTTACGCATATTGCATATTAAAAAAAAACAAACATAATACCTAATGAATAAAGAAATAAATAAAGAGAAATGAACAATTTAAACAACAATAGATGGATTGAAGCAACAAAATACCTAGAAGAATTTAATAGCAATAAATATTCAATAGAGTATTGATCAACATAAAATGATAATTTCGTAGAGGAAGGAAGAGGAAAATGAATAACGTCATACATACAGTTTAAATATGTTAGAGACAATTTTACATGGAATTAAAATGATATGAAATGTTTGTAGGTGGCATATACCTACAGCAAGATATAGATAGAACAATTAGGGAAATTTACGATATATTTCCAGGTACTAAAATAGACTTAGTAACTTTTTGCAGTTGTTGGAACATACATCCGGGCAAAGTCTACCGTTTAGTTTTGGTCTTTGATCTATTAGATAAAGAAACTCTTGAAATATGGCTCGAGTTTCCTTAGAAAATTGGTTACTTGAAGGATCTACCACACAAATCGGTCGAAATTACAATAAATTTCGTATTCGAGTTTATCCTGCAGTTATTGGATGGTTGCCATAGACCAAGCAAAGGATTTAAAGCTCAAAGATAATCAGACGCCTTGGGTTAGTCTTCAATAATACACACAAATCCAACCATTTCATGTACGATTTTGGACTGAAGCTCTATGGATTGAACAGTGATTGAGTGTAACCACAAAGATACAAATTGCCTCGGTCTATGCCGTATGTTGCCGGACATGTTGTGCCATTTTGTTGGAACCCCATTTTGCCAAAGATCATAGCATTATGCTAATTCCTAAAGAAATCCCATCATGACCCTGTCGCGATCGTATTTGGCGGTTGTTGGCGGGTCGCCGACATACATTTTAGAACATAATAAAAACTACCTGGTGTTTTACTAGAAACGGTTCAGTAGTCCAAATGAGTCAGTTTTGTTCGCAAGAATCGTGCAAGAACATGATGTTTGGTATAAATTTAATAATTTGCAAACTATCTTGAACTGACTTTTCCAAATTTGAAAGAATTGCGAAGCTAAATTCGCATTACTAGAAATGGATTTCAGACACACCGATTGCCCTGAGAAAGACTCATTTTAGAATAAAATGTTATCTTTTGGATGCAGAGATACAAGCCGAGACGGCTCAAATCGGCGGCGGCTGGCCGCCGGTAATATTTTGCAAGCCGCGCCGCCGCCGACTCCTTTCGGCTCAAAAGCTAAGCCGGCTTAAACGTAGCCGCTGATAAAGATTGGAATCGCACATGTCTTTCAGAAAATAAT